GTCCACTTTAATCTGGCGAGATGGTTTCACTGGCGATTCGCGTGTATTATAGGCGCTGAACGCAGAAGTCCAGTTCTCGACGTCTTCCATTGCTGTTGGTGCACTAGACGTAGCTTCATCCCTTTCGCTTTTGCGTTCGGTTCCATGTGTCGTTTTGAAAGCTGGTTGACGATTAGAATTACAGGCCGAAAGAATTGTGTTCCTCGCCCGTTTTAGCAATGGCGGAGGAGAAACAGGAAACATGCTACTGGTATATTCAGGGGTATGCTACTCGTGTCTTCTCCGTTTTCCAGTGAAGCGGATCTCATACACGACGCTTTCGCCATGTTTGCTTCGCCAATTTTTGACTCAGAAAATGGTGGAACAGACGATTGGCCATGCTGTCTAGGCCTTTGATCGAGCATATTCCTCTTTGACTTCATCAATGGCGGCGTTGGTGGTAATTCATTAGAATCCACACTGCAGCCAGAATTAGACTCCTCAAAGTCTTCCATTTTTCACAGACAGAACCGCAACAACTCTGGAAGGGAATTTCATAACCGAGCCAATATATCGTGCTCTAGTGTGAAAAACCATTATTAGTTGATGGCGGATTTGCCATAATTCTGGCAGCCCGCAAGGCGTGACAATTTTACGTACAATCTCCACTTCAAGTATGTACATGGCAACTTGATGTCACCATCTCAAGGTGCCATTGACGTTTGCATTAATTGCCGCACAAAAGGTGTTAGTTGCCAAAGAAGAATCTTTTCGTTGGAAGTGATAAAGGATCACTGCTTCTGTTCTTTGTCAGTGTCAACACTACACGTTGTTCTTCGGCACTGACCTGCCATTCTGACACAAGTAAAGCATCTATTACTCACCAAATATTGACTTTTCAGAATGCAAAGGGTTTATTGCTGACTAGAAGTCGCGGAGGAGTTAGCTTTCCTGCACAGTTATGAGTTTGGATGTACATTGTATTTCGGCATGGTGGAGTGGAAAAATTCAAAAACAATTTTAAGGAACACGCAAAAAGGAGGATGGGGTCGTCAGTGCTAAAAGAGGTGTTCCACTATATGCCAATGAATAGGTCTTACTAAAGGAGGGCGTGGCTGTCTATTTTGTCTCCCCTTGAAATATGAATATTTTCAAGACGATCATTTGTTCCGTCAGGGGATGATCGCCCTTATCTCTCTGGGATGCTGGCGTGGCTAACCGGTGCTGCCCCAGGAACTCTTCTGTGGTCAGGCAATTACGGCTTGAAGGAGTTATATTCGTACACACCCACTGTGGCAAGTCTCGTTTGCAGACCCATTAATCATGTGATGTTTTGACCGTTTGTGAGGGTATGCTAATTTCAAAGTTCCCTTTCAAACTACTTTTCGAGGGCTTTGCACAGTCGATCTACACACCAAGGAAACGTGCCTGCAAATTTTGAGCGAAATCGGAGAGATCCACTTGCACATATTGTCTACAAGTTGTAGTCTTCTCAGGCATGCTCAGTTAACAAAGCCTTCGCTCATATCTTCTTTCTATATAAAGTAAAACCTTCTGAGTTCAAAGGCTATACCAGAACAATACTATTAACTTCTGACTTAATGCATGAGAACAAGACCAAGGAATAGACCAGAAATGCAGAACTACATAATCCACATCAGCTTGTGATTCTGGACTATCATAGTCTAGATTGATGATTTAATTTTGTTTAATGTGGTGCGAATCTATATAATTTTTATCTTTCTAACAGACAGACAGACAGACACACACACACACACACACACACACACACACTCTCTCTCTCTCTCTCTCTGTATTATATTTGTACAATTCATGAGCACGAAGAGAAGAAAGTCATTTTCACAGATAGTAAAACACTTTCTAACGAAGTTTAGGCTGTTCATTTTATGATATGACTACACTAGTGTCTACCAAGACTTGATGATGTTCTGAAGTATTTTCGGCACGCTCTGCACGTATATGGACGTTCTCCTGTCTGTACATGTTCATGGTTTTGTGGCTGAGATTACTGTGTCGATGACCTCATACAGGTCTTGCACGTAAACGCCTTTCTCCAGAATGGATATGTTAATGTGCGCGTAAATGGGACGATTGTGTGAACGATGAGCCACATGTTTTACACTTGTGCGGTCTCTCTCCGGTATGAGTACGTTTATGAGCACATAGAGTGTCTGACTGAGAGAACGACATCCCGCATTCATCACACTTGAATGGTCAATCTCCAGTATGAACACGTTCATGCTGCTGGACGCGAGAAATGTACTTGAACTCTTTTTGGCAAAACTGACCCCTCTGTGATGTCTTACACTTAGAACGCTTGCGCAGATCCTGATTCTGAGCCATAATCTTAGAAGAGACAGAGATTTGTTCGATATGACGCCTGCGTTCAACCGGCATGGCAAGCGCATCAGGTTGCTCCCATATTTCACGCATCCTTCCAACAGAAACTCCGGTAATTGGCGTTGTGGCTAGAGTTAAGGAGTCTTTTTCAATCTGAGGAGATGGTTTCACAGTCGATACACGTTTACCATACGCGCTGAATGCAGAAATCCGGTTCTCAACGTCTTCCAATCCGGGCGGCATACTAGTCGTTGCTTCATTCTTTTCGTTTTTTTCCGGCGGTTGGGAATGTTTTTTGAAAGCTTGTTGACGATTAGAAATACTGGCTGAAATAATTGTGTTCCTCGTCCATTTTATCAATGGCGGAGGAGAGACAGAAATTATGCTATTGGTATAAAACGGGAATACTACGTGTGTCTTCTCTGTTTTCCAGTAAAGCGGATCTCATACACGACGGCTTCTCCATGGTTTCTTCTAAAACGTTTGACGCAGGAGATGGTGGAACGGACGATGGACCCTGCTCTCTAGACGTTTGGTTGAGCTTATTCCTCTTCAACTTCATCAATGGCGGCATTGGTGGTAGTTCATTAGATGCCACACTGCTGGCAGACGTCGACTCCTCAAAGTCTTCTATTTCTCACTGAACTGCAACGACTCTGGAAGGGAAATTGTATACCGAGCCAATATTACTCGTAGCCACTTCACACAGTGAATTTAAAATTTCGGGTACCGAATGGTTCGCTCCGTAAACTATAATATCGTGTTCTAGTGTGAAAAGCAATAGAAGTTGATAACAATAAATTAATGGGCTTGCCCTAGTTAGGTTTGCAGCTCGCAATGCGTGACAGTTATACGTTGCTTTTTCAACTTCAAGCTCATGGCAACTGGCTGTCACCATCTCAAGCGCTCATGGACTTTTGCATCAATTGTCGCACAAAACGATTGCCTGGGGAGTATCTTGTCATTTTAAGTGATAAATGTTCACTCCTACTGTTCTTTGTCAGTGTCAACACTACATGTTGTTGTTCAGCACTGAAATGCCATTCTGACACAAGTAAAGGATGTATCACTCACCAAATACGTTTACGTTTACAGAATGCAAAAGGTCTATTACTGACCAGACATCGCGGTGGGATGAGCTTTCCTGCACAGTTTTGAGTTTGGATGTACATTGTATTTCAGGATGGTGGAGTGGAAAAAATCAAAATTATTTTCAAGAAAACGCAAAAAGGAGGATGGGGGACATGTCCTCAGTGGTAGAAAAGGTGTTCTTCTATCTGCCAATGAATGGTTTTTGGTAAATGAGGACGTAACTCTCTATTTTGTCCGCCCTTGTAATTCGGCTATTTTCAAGACGATCATTAAATTTTGTTTCGTCAGTAGGTGATGGCCCTCATCTTCTTGGAGGCTCGCGTGGTAAAGTGGTTCTGCCCCGGGAACTCGTCTAAGGTCAGGCAATTTGGGCTTGATGGAGCTTTATTCGTAGCTTGGTCTTATACGCTGTGGCATGTCTCGTTTACAGACCCATAAATCATATGGTATTTTAACCATTTTTGAGGGCATGCCAATTTCAAATTTCCCTTCAGACACCTTTTCAAGGAGGCTTTGCACAGTCGATCTACACCATGAAATGTGCTTCCATATTTTTTAAAGCGAAACCGGAGAGATCGGCTTGCACACTTTGTCTAGTTTTCTCAGACACACTATCTTTAAAAGGCAACACAGCCTTCACACATACATTGTATCTACGATCTTAAAGAACAAATGTTCTCAGATCAAAGGTTGTACTTGAAAATTATTATTAATTCAACTTCTGACATAATACATGAGAACGAGACCACGGAATAGAACAGATATACGGAACAACATATTTCACATCAGCTTGTGATTCTGGACTATCATTGTATATTGCGTGTGTGTTGTTACGATTAGACTGATGTGAATAGCATAAAGAACTGGACTTTGCTTCAAACTGCTGCGTATGTATTCAAGCTTTCTGGCAGACAACACGCACACACAGACACACACACACACAAACACACAAACAGGCACACACACACACAAACACACACACACACACACACCCTTGATAACAATGCAACGGCAGAAGCCATATCAACTTGTGCTGGGATTGCACAATTCAACAGTTTGCAATGCTGAAGAATTGACCGTCACTATTCAGCCTGGTCTAAACCACACAGCTATTTGAAGTGACTTTTTCTGGCCGGTGAATCCCAATTTATTTTGATCTTTTTTGGTCTTCCTTTTTTTTCCCGCACACACATCACACCATATACGCCGGCATGCACTGGCTGTTGGTAGAAAGAGAAGAAAGGCGTGTGTGACCATAGTCTTCGGGAATCGAACCCGCAACCTATGTATATGTGTCCCATATGGTGCAGTGGTATGCACAGCGATTTCCACACACACATACACACACACACACTCTCTCTCTATCTATCTATCTCCATCTCTCGTCATCGTAGAATACATGAGCAGGAAGAGACGAAAATTTAATGCATTGTAACACATACTAAAGAACTTTCAAACGATAAATTAGGCTTTTCATTTTCTTTTATTAATACGCTCGTGTCTACGAAGACATGCCGAAGTTCTGAAGAACTTTTGAGCACTCTTAGCACCTGTATGGACGTTCTCCTGTATGTATACGTTCATGGTCATGTAGTTAGGATTACTGTGTGAATGACCTTACACATGTCTTTCGCGTAACGCGTCTTTCTCCACTATGAGTACGTTTATGAACACGTAGACTGCCTGACTGAGTGAAAGACTTTCCGCATACATCACACTTGAATGGTCGATCTCCAGTATGAACACGTTCATGCTCGCGGAAGTGAGAGACGTGCTTGAACTCTTTTTGGCAAACCTGACACCTTTGTGATGTCTTACACTAAGAACGTTTGTCTGGATGCTGGTTCTGAGCCACAACCTTAGAAGAGTCAGAATTGTGTCCGGCCGCACGTTCAACTGGCATGTCACACGCATCAGTTTGCTCCAATGTTTCTCGCATTCTTTCAACAGAAACTCCGGTATTTGACGCTTTGGATGGCGTTAAGTCGTCCATCTCAAACTGAGGAGATTGTTCCACAGGCGATGCACGTTATTCGCAAGGACTGAACGCAGAAGTCCGGTTATCGACGTCTTCCACTTCTGGCGATACACTACACGTTGCTTCATCTGCTTCGCTTTTGGTGGCGGTTCGGAATGTACTTTTGAAAGCAGGTTGACAAATTAAAACCCTTTCTGAAAGAATTGTGTTCCTCGTCCATGTTATCAATGGCGGAGGAGAAACAGGAATTATGCTACTGGTATACTCAGGGGGTATATTACTCGTGTCTTCTCTGTTTTCCAGTGGAGCGGATCCCATACCCGACCCTTTCTCTGTGTTCGATTCGCCAATTATTGACCAAGAAGATGGTGGAAAAGATGATGAACCATGCTCTCTTGCTATTTGGTCGAGCATATTCCTCCTTGACTTCATCAATGGCGGCATTGGTGGTACTTTATTACAATCCACACTGCACTCAGACTTGAATTCCTCGAAGCCTTCCATTTCTCACTGAACTGCAATAGCTCTGGAAAGGAAATTGCATAACAGAGTCGATATTACTCGAAACCACCTCACTCAGTCGTGGAAGTGATCTCAACATTCACTTCACGCATCGAAGAAAAACTTCCGATGCAGAATTGTTCGCTCTGGCCACTTTAATATCGTGTCCTAGGGCGTCAAAAGCCATATTAGTTTATAACGATGGGTCTTCCATAATTCTGGCAGCCCGCAATGCGTGACAATTGTACGTATGCTCTCAAGAACAAATACATGGCAACTTGCTGTCGCCATCTCAAACTGCAATGGTTGTTGGCATCAATTGTTGCACAAAAGGATGTTGGTTGAGAAGGAGATTCTTGTCGTTTTAAGTGATAAATGATCACTCCTACTCTTCTTGGTCAGTGTCAACACTACACGTTGTTGTGTCGGTGCTTCCCCAGGAACTCCTCTAAGGTGAGGTAATGATGGCTTGATGGAGCTACATTCCTACGTTGGTCTTATACACGGCGGCATGTCTGGTTTGCAGACCCATCACTCATGTGATGTTTTGACCATTTTTGAGGGGTATGACAATTTCTAAGTTCCCTTCGGACACCTTTCCAAGGCGGCTTTGCACAGTCGATCTACACCCTACGGAAACGTGCTTTCATAACTCAAGCGAAATAAGAGAGATTCATTTGCACATATTGTCTGGTCTCCTGAGACATCCTCAGACATGCTCTCCTAAAAGTCAACAAAGCTATCGCACATATCTACGATCTAGATCAAGTAAAACGTTCTAAGATCAAAGGTTATCCTAGATAAGCACTGTAATTTTCTGACATAATATATGAGAACGAGACAATGGAATGGAACAGAAATACTTAACAAAACGATCCACATCAGCTAGCGATTCTTGATTATCATAGCCTAACTCGTGTGCCGCCACGCTCACAGACTTGTGTGAATAGCAGAAGTTTTCATTTCTTGTTGGCTGAGTTTTACGAAATAAACAAGAAATGTTGTTCTTTTCGAACGAACAGGTCTGGGACCGAGGTCCGACAGTTTTGGGCGTACTGGTACGCCGCAGTCCCTCATCTTTTGTTTTCTTGCTTTGCAAGCTGGTTTTCTTGCTGTGACTGTCCCCCCGCAGTTGTTATTCTGTGATGAGTGTGTGGGAGTGTGTGTGTGTGTTTGTGTGTGTATGTGAGAGAGAGAGTGTGTGTAGGTGTGTAGGTGTGTGTAGGTGTGTGTGTGTGTGTGTGTGTGTGTGTGTGTGTGTGTGTGTGTGTGTGTGTGTGTGTGTGTGTGTGTGTGTGTGTGTGTGTGTGTGTGTGAGTTGTCGTTGAAGAGGTCGGTTGCACTTTTCTGGGCTCTGACCGAAATGGAAGGATAGCTGCGTTTGCAGCCATGGCTGTGTGGTGTACACCAGGCCATGGTTGCTGCAGCATGTCCCAGTGGATTTGCGCTCTGCTGGGAGTAGGTACACAAGCACAAGTGAGACGAGGCAGTGTTTCTTAAATTTTCGAATAGTTGTGGACGAGGATGAGGACGATGAGGAAGTCGAGGAAGGAGCGAGAGACTCTCTTTATGGCGAGCTGGAATGTCCAGTCCCTTGTAGAGGACACAGGTGATGCCAGGATATGTAGGAAAAACAAGTCAGTGTCGCGAGTGGACAGAGGTCTGGACTTTTTGTCGGCGGAACTCGTAAAATTCCGTGTCGGAGTTGCGGGAATTCAAGAGACGAAGTGGTTCGGCAGTGATGTGTGGCCCATCGGCAATTGTACCTTCGTTCATTCATTGTTCATTCTGGTCGCCCAATCCCAACAGGGGGAGAACCAGCCCGACGGAACGAGGGTGTTGGAATTTGGATGAATCCAGAGATGTCGGCGGCGTGGCGGCGTGGCGCAGAACAGTGGGACCCCGTAAGCTCGCGCATCGTCACGGCTCGTATCCTACTTCACGCGAAGGGGGACAAACTACCCCGCGGAGATCGTGATCAGTACTTGTCTGTTATCAACATCTATGCGCCCACCAACAAAGCGACATTCAGCGTGAAGGAGACATTTTATAGACACCTACAGGCGATCGTTGACAAAGTCAACCGTAACGACATCTTTGTACTCCTGGGCGATTTCAACGCCAGAGTAGGGTCACGCGGAACTGGTGATTTTCGGGACAGGTATGACGATAGGCCCCCCTGGGATCAGATCATTGGTGACTTTGGTCTGCACGAATTCGTGATTATCTTGAGCTTGAATTGTCGACTACTGATTTTGTTGAAGATGTCACTAATAATCCTTATGTTATTGGAGACTGTGTCATGCTGCGTAGGTCTGCCCGCAGGCAAAAGTGTACTTCTCCTTATGAGCCAGGCTGGAAAGTTGAATCTGTTATTTCCCCTAGCACAGTTGTTATTATGTACACTGCTGATAATAGGCGACACTCGAAGCGTGTGAACGTCGACTTTCTGAAGCTGGACCCTGGTGAGTCACTGGAAGAGTCTCCAGATACCTCTGATGTTGACGATCTCCCTGATGATGATAACCTGGCTGTTGTGTTCGATTCGTCTATCAGTGAACCTGCTCGCTATGGTCTGCGGGACCGACACCAGCTACGGCCGCCTGCACGGTACACTTGACTATTGTGCTCAGAGTTTCTAGATTGACTGTTTCTGCTTGATTTGCAATTGGGTCCTTTATTGTTTTTTGTTTGTTTGTATTTGGTTTGTTTTTGCCTTATGTCACCAGGGGGCGTGTAGTAGTAGTGACAAAGCATGCTGACACTCAGTGAGGCCTTGATAGAAGTTACTGCTAATTCATTGACCTTTGGAATGACTGTTGCCGATTCGAATCCCACAATTGCATGTGTTACCTTTTTGTGTCTTTTCCCATTTATGCCAATGATGTAATCATTACTCATTGTAGTAGATAGAGTAGTCACCTGAGCTTCTCTGCTTGGCTGTTGCTAGGCGCCAGTGCCTGGCCCTGGTATAAAGGCAGTGGTTTCTCCTCATTTCACTCTCTTTCTCTTCGGTCCTGATGGCGTCGTGAGCTGCTGCTGGCTACTGTTCAAGTACTGTAACTATGATCCTCTCTTCCCTCTTCTTCTATTCCTCCATTGTTGTATGAAACTATGTATGACATCAAGAAAGAGTGTCTTGTTGTAGATGTGTGAGTGCTTTATGGGCGCTAGAGTTTGAGCTGGTTACGATTCAGTAACAACACGCATGTTCTTGCTGTCTCAAGCTGTCAACAGATATACTTTGAAGTAGCTTTAATATGCATCAACTGTCGCACAAACCAATGTTGGTTTGCCAATTGAAAATCTTGTGGTTTTACAAGTAAGTGTTAAATGAACATTACTATCAATTTTTTCATTGTCAATGTCGTGACCAACAACGTAGAGCAACGTAATCTGGTTTGGAAACCACTGTGAATATATCCTGCTGTTGTACGCATCATCGACATCGACATCACCATCATCATCATTACCTGCTCTCGAGTTAGTTAGGGTAATACCTTCACTTCATAATGTTCTGCATCAATCATTAGCGAATGACTTTGTAGGCTGTCCGTGGTGAAAAGGATTTCGAATTTTTCAAAGCTGCCATTCTTCTGCAGGCTGTTAGTGGTGTCGCGGAAGATATCATCATTGTTATGAATATTGAATAACTGCTATTCCGACACAAGGTGAGGATCTATCACTCACTCCAAATTCACATTTTCTGAATTCAAAAGGTCTAATGCTGACTAGAGGTAGCGGAGGGGTGAGCTTTCCTGCGCAGGTATGAGTTTGGAAGTACATTGTATTTCAGCATGGTGGAGTGGACAAATTCAAAATCGAGAAAAAACAAAAATAATTATGGGGACATGCCCTCGTTGGTAGATTTGGTGTTCTACTATCTGCTCATGACGACGTAGCTCTCTATTTTATCCGCTCTCGTTATGTGGCTATTTTCAAGACGATAATTTGTGGCCTCAGGGGGTGATGGTACTCATCTTGTGGGATGCTTGCGTTGCTAAGTCGAGCTGCTCCAGTCATGCACTTTTCTAAAGTGACACAATGTTGGCTTGATAGAGTTTTATTCATTGGTTGGTCGTAAGCGCTGCAGCATGGCTCGCTTTTTTCAAGACGATAATTTGTGGTCTCAGGGGGTGATGGCACTCATCTTTTGGGATGCTTGCGTTGCTAAGTGGAGCTGCCGCAGGCATGCACTTTTCTAAAGTGACACAATTTTGCTTGATTTAGTTTTATTCATTGGTTGGTCGTAAGCGCTACGGCATGGCTCGTTTGAAACCAAAACATCATGTCACATTTTGACCATTGTTGAAGGATATGCCATTTTCAAAGTTCCCTCCAGACAATTTTCCAAAGCGGTTTTCCGCAAAGGAAACGAGTCTGCAAAATTTTAGCTAAATCGGAGAAGTCGACTTGCACATACTGTCTGGTCTTCTCAGACATGCTCCCAAAAATGGTCAAAATTGCCTTCGCACATATCTACGATCTGAAAAAAATACACGTTCTCAGATCAATGGTTATGCTATAATAATGTTATTAACATCTGACATAATACATGAGAACGAGACCATGGATTACAACAGAAATACAGAATAACATAATCCACATCAGATTGCGATTCTCAACTATCATAGTCTATTACGTGTGTGCCTAGAACCAGACTTGTGTGAATAGCATCAAAGAGTGATTTATTTTTTTAAATGCTGCGAATGTATACTATCTTTAACCCTTTAAGAGCCACAGGAAATTTTCAAAATTGTGCATTTTTTCGTGTTCTTTGGATCATAGCTTCAGTTCTACTCACTCAATCCTCACAATCTAGGGCTTCCTGGAAAGGTCTCCGCGAGAGGAAGAGAATGAGGTCGATCATGATAGCCAGCACACCGTCTATCCAGCGCTAGATCGCAGCGACAGTACGAAAAATGCCCCAAATGCGTCCAATTGCGTCCCGCTCCAGATATTTCATTTTACTCGATCGTGGAGTTCCAATTTTTTCGCTGTGTACTCTTGACAATATCAACAGTGAAACCCGTGCAAATTCGAGTAAGCCAGCTTGACGAAAAGTCTCAAAATTCTCAATACTAAAGTCGCACTGCGCGTTTTTGAAATTGCCGCGATCGCGGCTCAACTTACGAGTGATTTATCTCAGGAACCGTTGCTCGCAGCGCTTCGCGGATTGTTTCTCCCGACAGGTGAGAGATTTCTCTTCGCCCTGGATATTTCGATCACTGGATTTGAGCGAGATTGGACTGAGTTACGATCTTTTGAAGTTTTGCATTTGAATGCGTCGTTTACGACGCATTCAAGTATGGGGCGGCTCTTAAAGGGTTAAAACAGACACACACACTCTTTCTTTCTTGATCTTACAATTCATAAGCCCGAAGAGAAGATAGGCATTTTCGCACATAGAAAGCACCCTTCTTACGACTTTAGGCTATTCATTGTAGGTTATAAAAACACTGGTGTCTAGGATAACATGATGATGTTCTGAAGAACTTTGCGCACTCTCTGCACCTATATTCACGTTCTCCTGTATGTATACGTTCATGGTCATGTAGTTAGGATGACTGTGTGGATGACCTTACACATGTCTTGCACGTAAAAGGTCTTTATGCTGAATGAATACGTTCATGTTTGCGTAAATGGGACAATTGCGTGAACGATGTGGCACATGTTTTACACTTGTGCGGTATCTCTCCAGTATGAGTACGTTGATGAACACATAGATTGCTTGACGTAGTGAAAGACTTCTCGCATGCATCACACTTGAATGGTCGTTCTCCGGTATGAGTACGTTTATGAACACATAGACTGCTTGACAGAGTGAAAGACCTCCCGCACACATCACACTTGAATGGTCGATCTCCAGTGTGAACACGTTCATGGTAGCGGAGGCGAGAAACGTATTTGAACTCTTTTTGGCAAAACTGACACCTCTGTGATGTCTTACACTTAGAACGTTTGTACGGATCCTGATTCTGAGCCATAACCTTAGAAGAGCCAGAATGTTGTCCCATAGGACGCCTTCGTGCAACTGGCATGCCAAACGCATCAGGTTGCTCCCATGTTTCAGGTGTCCTTCCAGCAGGAACTCCAGTATAATACGCTGTGGCTGGAGTTCAGACATCCATTTCAAATTGAAGAGGTGGCTTCACAGGCGATGCACGTTTCTCAAACCCGCTGAACGCTGAAGTCCAGTTCACCACGTCTTCCATTTCAGACTGTGTACTAGATGTTGCTTCATCCTTTTCGCTTATGTCGGCGGTTTGAAATGTATGTTCGAAAGCTGGCTGACGATTAGAAATAAAGGCTGAAGGAATTGTGTTCCTCGTCCATTTTTTCAATGCCGGAGGAGGAACAGGAATTGTGCTACTGGTATACTCAGGGGGGTATACTACTCGTGTCTTCTCTGTTTTCCAGTGAAGCGGATCTCATACAGGACGGTTTCTCCATGTAATCTTCTAAAAGGTTTGACGCAGGAGATGGTGGAACGGACGATGGACCATACTCTCTAGAAGTTCGGTTGAGCTTAGTCCTCTTCGACTTCATCAATGACGGCATTGGTGGTAGATCATTAGAATCTACACTGCAGTCGGACATCGACTCCTCCAAGTATTCCATTTCTCCCTGAACTGCAACAACTCTGGAAGGGAAATTGTATAATCAAGGCACTATTTCTCGTAGCCACCTCACGCAGTGAAAATGAAATAACGGATGCAGAATGGTTCGCTCTGTGCACTTTAATATTGTGCTCTAGTGTGAAAAGCAATATTAGTTGATAAACTATCAAACATGGGTTTGCCATAATTCTGGCAGCCCGCAATGCCTGACAATTGTACGTATGCTCTCAAAATCAAGTACATGGCAACTTGATGGCACCATCTCAAGATGTCATGAACGTTTGCATTAATTGTCGCGCAAAAAAGTGTTAGTTGATAGTGGAGAATCTTGTCGTTTCAAGTGGTAAATGTTCACTCCTACTGTTCTTTGTCAGTGTCAACACTACACGTTGTTCTTCAGTGCTGAACTGCCATTCTGAAACAAGTAAAAGATCTAGCTCTCACCAAAAATTTACTTTTCAGAATTCCAAAGGTCTATTGCCGACTAGACGTAGCGGAGGGATGAGCTTTCCTGCACAGGTGTGAGTTTGGATGTACATTGTATTTCAGATGGTGGAGTGGAAAAATTCAAATTGTTCTTTCAAGAAAACGCGAAAAGGAGGATGGGCTACATGTCCTCAGTGCTAAAAGATGTGTTCTGCTATCTTGTTGTTTTGTTGTTGTTTGTTTATTTAGAGTCGAAGACCATACAGGCAAAATTTGTCTAAATCCATGATATCGACTAAAAAGGAGAATAAAGTATTAACGAATATCTGCTGATGAATAGTTCTTGCTATATGAGGACGTAGCTCTCTATTTTGTCCGCACTTCTAAATTGGCTCTTTTGAAGACGATTATTCGTGGCCTCAGGGTGTGATGGCCCTCATCTTCTGCGATGCTTGCGTGGCTAAGCGGAGCTGCCCCAGTCATGCATTTTCTAAAGTGAGTAAATGTTGGATTGATGGAGTTTTATTCGTAGTTTGGTCTTAAACGCTGTGGCATGTCTCGTTTGCAGACCCACAAATCATGTGATGTTTTGACCAATGTTAAGGGGTATGTCCATTTCAAGGTTCCCTTCGGACACCTTTTCAAAGGATTTGAACAGTCGATCTACCCCCCCCCCCCCGCCTCCCAAAGAAAACGTAACTGCCAAATTTGAGGGAAATCAGAGAGATCCACTTGCACACATTGTCTAGTCGTCTAAGACGTCTCTTAAAAGTCAAAAAACGCTTCGCAGAAATCTACGATCTGAATTAATTAAACTTTCTCAGATCGAAGGCTTTGCTTGAATATGATTATTAACTTCTGACATAATACATGAGAACGAGACCATGGAACAGAACACAAATACAGAATTACATAATCCACATCAGGTTGCGATTATCTACAATCATAGTTTATCGCGTGTGTGGCTAGGACCAGACTTTTGTGAATACCATCAAAGAGTGATTTCTTAAATGCTGCAAATGTACACTATCTTTCAAACAGACACACACACTCTTTCTCTCTTGTTTTTACAATTCATAAGCGCGAAGGGAAAGACAGTTTCACCAATACAAAACACTATCTAACGACTTTTAGGCTATTCATTGTAGGTTATAATATAACTTATAAATACACTGGTGTCTAGGATAACATGATGATGTTCTGAGGAACTTTGCGCACTCTCTGCATCTATATGCACGTTTTCCTGTATGTATGTTCATGGTCGTGTAGTTAGGATGACTGTGTGGATGACCTTACACATGTCTTGCACGTAAAAGGTCTTTATTTAAGAATGGATACGTTTATGCCTGCGTAAATTAGACGAATGTGCGAACGATTTTCCACATTTCTTACACTTGTGCGGTCTCTCTCCAGTATGAGTATGTTTATGATCACATAGATTGCCTGACTGAGTGAAAGATTTCCCGCATACATCACACTTGAATGGTCGATCTCCAGTATGAGTACGTTTATGAGCACAGAGATGGCCTGAATAAGAGAAAGACATCCCGCATAAATCACATTTAAATGGTCGATCTCCAGTATGAGTACGTTTATGAGCACAGAGACTACCTGACTGAGTGAAAGACTTCTCGCATACATCACACTTGAATGGTCGATCTCCAGTATGAACACGTTCATGCTCGCGGAGGCGAGAAACGTACTTGAACTCTTTTTGGCAAAACTGACACCTCTGTAATGTCTTACACTTAGAACTCTTGTACGAATCCTGATTCTGAGCCACAACCTTAGAAGGTTCAGAATGTTGTCCGATAGGATGCCTTCGTTCAACTGACATGCCAAACGCATCAGCTTGCTCCCACAGGTCAGGCGTCCGTCCACCAAAAACTCCAGTATTTGACGCTGTGGCTGGAGTTAAGCCATCTATTTCGAACTGAAGAGGTGGCTTCACAGGCGATGCATGTTTCTCACGCCCGCTAAACGTTGAAGTCCAGTTCACCACCTCTTCCATTTCAGACTGTGCACTAGACGTTGCTTCATCCCTTTGGCTTTTGTCTGCAATTTGAAATGCCTGTTCGAAAGCTGGCTGACGATTAGAAATACTGGCTGAAGGAATTGTCCATTTTATCAATGGCGGAGGAGACACAGGAATTGTGCTACTGGTAAACTCAAGGGGTATACTGCTCGTGTCTTCTCTGTTTTCCAGTGAAGCGGATCTCATACACGACGGTTTCTCCATGTTTTCTTCTAAAAGGTTTGACGCAGGAGATGGTGGAATGGACGATGGACCATGCTCTCTGGACGTTCGGTTGAGCTTAGTCCTCTTCGACTTCATCAATGGCGGCATTGGTGGTAGATCATTAGAATCCACACTGCAGTCAGATATCGAATCCTCCAAGTATTCCATTTCTCTCTGAACTGCAACAACTCTGGAAGGGAAATTGCATACCCGAGGCAATATTACTCGTAGCCACCTCATGCAGTGAAATGAAAATTACTGATGCAGAATGGTTTGCTCTGTGCATTTTAATATCGTGCGCTAGTGTGAAAAGCAATATTAGTTGATGACATTAAAAAATGTGTTTGCCATAATTCTGGCAGTCCGCGATGCGTGACAATTATAAGTATGCTCTCAAAATCAAGTACATGGCAACTGGATGGCACCATCTCAAGATGTCTTGGACGTTTACATTAATTGTCGCACAAAAAGAAGTTAGTTACTATGGGAGAATCTTGTCGTTTTAAGTGATAAATGATCACTCCTACTGTTCGTTGTCAGTGTCAACACTAGACGTTGTTCTTCAGTACTGAACTGCCATTCTGACACACGTAAAGGATCTAGCACTCACCAAAAAATTACTTTTCAGAATGCAAAAGGTCTATAATAGTATTGCCGACTAGACGTACCGGAGGGGTGAGCTTTCCTGCGCAGGTGTGAATTTGGATGTCCACTTTATTTCAGATGGTGGAGTGGAAAAATTCAAAATGTGTTTTTTAAGAAAACGCAAAAAGGATGATGGGGTACATGTGCTCACTGCTAGAAGAGGTGTTCTACTATCTTGTTGTTGTCTTGTTGTTTGTTTATCGAAGAGCACACATGGAAAATTTGCCTAAGTCCATGATATCGACTAAAAAGGAGAATAAAGTAAAAAAGACTATCTGCCAATGAATAGGTCTTGCTAAATGAGGACGTAGCTCTCTATTTTGTCCGCCCTTTAAATTTGGCTCTTTTGAAAACGACTATTAGTGGCCACAGGGTGAGAAGGTCCTCGTCTTTTGGGATGCTTGCGTGGCTAAGCGAAGCCGACCCAGTCATGCACCTTTCCAAGGTGAGAAAATGTTAGCTTGATGGAGCTTGATTCCTTCGTTGGTCGTAAACGCTGTTGTATGTCTCGTTTGGTAACCCATAAATCATTTTGATGTTTTGACCAATGTTTAGGGGTATGTCTATTTCAAAGTTCCCTTCGGACACCTTTCCAAGGGATTTGAACAGTCGATCTACCCCCCTCCCCTCCCCTCCCCAAGAAAACATACCTGACAAATTTGATGGAAATCAGAGAGATCCACTTGCACACATTGTCTGGTCGTCTAAGACATGTTCTCTTAAAAGTCAACAATTGCTTCGCACAACTCTACGATCTGAATTAATTAAACTTTCTCTGATCGATGGTTATGCTAGAATATGATTATTAACTTCTGACATAATGCATGAGAACGAGACGATGGAAGAGAACAGAAATACAGAACTACATAATCCACATCAGATTGCGATTCTGTACAATCATAGTTTATCGCGTGTGTGGCTAGGACCAGACTTGTGTGAATAGCATGAAAGAGTGATTTCTTTTTTTAAATGCTGTGAATGTACACTATCTTTCGAACAGACACGCATACACTCTTTCTCTCTTGTTCTTAAAAGTCATAGGCCCGAAGAGAAGAAAGACATTTTCACACAATAGTAAAACACTATGTAACGACTTTTAGGCTATTCATTGTAGGTTATAAATACACTGGTGTCTAGGATAACATGATGATGTTCTGAAGAACTTTGAGCACTCTCTGAGCCTAAATGTATATGGACGTTCTCCTGTATGTATACGTTCATGATCATGTAGTTAGGATGACTGTCTGGATGACCTCACACATGTCTTGCACGTAAAAGGTCTGTATGCAGAATGGATACGTTCAAGTCTGCGTAAACTAGACGAATGCGTGAACGATGTGCCACATGTCTTACACTTGTGCCGTCTCTCTCCAGTTTGAACACGTTTATGCACACGTAGATTGCCTGACTGAGTGAAGAACTTCCCGCAAATATCACACTTGAATTGTCGATCTCCAGTATGAGTACGTTTGTGAGCGCAGAGACTGCATGACTGAGTGAAAGACTTCCCGCATACATCACACTTGAATGGTCGATCTCCAGTGTGATCACGTTCATGCTCGCGGAGATGAGATACCTTTTTGAACTCTTTTGGGCAAAACCGACACCTTTGCGAGGTCTTATACTTAGAATGAGTTAGGATGACTGTGTCGATGACCTTACACATGTCTTGCATGTAAAAAGTCTTTATGCAGAATGGATACGTTCATGCCTGCGTATATATG